GAAAGTTCATTAACTTTCCTAATTACGACTCCTGCCTCGAAGGAGTCCACCATGCAGAGATCAGACACATCTACACATAGGTAAATCACAAGAGAAAATGAGAAAGTAAATAATTATAAAGGATTATGCAAAGTTAAGGGACCAGAGACCACTAGGAATTTATAACCCCGTACAGGAGGTAAGTCCTCACAGCTCTAAATCAAGGTAACAGGAGCCTGGCACTGTAATTTACAGCTGGTATCACAGTGTAAGCGATGTCGTGTCCCGTCAGGCTGGAGGAGGAGCGAGTCCAGGGGGCGGGTTGGGGGGGGGCAGGTGGCCTGTCAGCCGGGCCCAGCTTCACGGAGAGGGCTGCGCGAGAAAGGCTGGCACGTGCACGTGCTGTGCGCACCATCGGAGGGCCAGTGCGGCGTGCGATCCGTGCGCACGGACTGACCAGAGGGTGGCAGCCGACAGGGACGGGCGGCGGGCAGTGCCAGCATGGCACAGCTGAAGGTCGGCCTGAGAAGGGCCCGCACCCAGGCAGCGAGGGCAAGGGCCCTGGCAGAAGGCAGAGAGGAAACGGGGCATGGCGGGAGCCCGAGCGAGAGCCGGCCCTGACGCTCAAGGTAGTGAGTGTGGATTTTACCCAGGACACGCGGGACCAGCTGTCCTAGTTCTGGATCAACCGCCAGAACTGCCTCCCTGTGGCACAGGGCCTGTCACGCTGAACTAGAGTCTCCTCCTCCTGCGCTCTGTAGTCTAGCGTACTGAAGACGAATTCCCTCTTCTGCTACACTGAGAGTTTCTTGAGAGCAGGAACCCTATATTTTATGTAGTAACGATCAAAATGTTTAGCTACAGAAAGTATTCAGTGAATGAATGAATGAAAGAAAGACAAGTTAAATGCTACATTCTTATTCTAAAGAGACCCTGTCTCATTCCACAACTCTCTTTTTAATTTTTTTAAAACAATTTTGGTCAGTTTACCTGAACTTTCTAATACACTATGGTGGGCAAATGTTAACCTACCTTTAAAGGAATTATGTTCAGAAAGAATGATCAATATAGACGACTTCTCCCATGTGGCCGAACTGCTTGGCTGTGCCCTTGATCAGTGAGTCTGCCTGGCTCTGAACCACGCTTACTCTCTGACCCCGGGTCCCTCGCCCCCTCCACCCCTCACCGGCGCTGGCGTGGCCGCAGTTCTCCTGTGAGAACCCACACCAGTCTTCCTTGATCCTTCTTCAGGTTCAGAGAAATATGAATTCTATACCCTCCCCCCCCCAAAAGGCCCACATGCTCAAAATTCAACATATTATGATTCTATTTTATAAAGCCCCAAAACAGGCAAAATCAATCTAACACTGGCGGTGTCAGGGGAGACGCCGACGGAGGGAGCAGGCGCGGGCCTGTGCTGCTGCCAACATTCTACGCGCTGGTGTCCGGGCCGGCGGCATCGGGGTGCTCCCCTCGGAGACAACTCACTGATCCGCACAACACCAGACGCCGCACACTTCTGTGTCTGCTTGTCCTCAGCCTTCCCTGTGGCGGACGAGGCGGGTAGCACTGCCACAGGCGACCACATTCAGCCGCTGGCTGGAGAGTCGCAGAGCAGCAGCGGTTCTTCTCCTGGAGCCCCCGTTCCCAGGGCAGAGACAGGGAGAGGGGCAGGGGCGGGGAGCAGCGGGGGCTGCAGGGGGAGGGGCTTAGCCCCCCAGAATCATCGTTATTTACAAGGTGCACACACGTAATAATCTTTCATCACTCTTTGATGTGGACGATTTTCAGTTTCTTGAACTAAATAAGTACCCCTAAAATCATCACTAGAAAAACAAAACAAACCTCCAATGCCTGTGGGTGAGGAGCAAGAAAAAAAAATCTGCTCCATAAAAGCTCCTTAGGGAATCTCACCCTGCGTCTCTCGCATTTCTTCCCCCATCTCCACAGCTTGTGATTGTGCTGACAAGTGGGGCCGGGCCGTGCTTACCGTCCGGTTGGACCAGCGGTGGGTGTGTTTCACCGACTTGGGAGAACCGGGAGGCGGATGTCAGGAGGACACCGCGGGACTTCTGAGCCACCAGAATGTAAACGTGAGACTTCGGGCAGGGGCAGGCTGGAGCTGTGGGACTGGGGGTACTGGCCAATACACCTGACACCCCACCTTACCGCCCCACAGAGACACCTGGGCTTCGGAAAACAGTCCATTAAGAATCCTAGAACACAGTACAAAGACTGGAGCCTCCTAAAATTTCTTCCTCGTTAGTGCCACGCCCACAGCCGACACCAGGATCCACTTGTCCTCGTGGATGTCCGTTCTGTTTTCCTGTTTTCCTGACGGGTCCCCACCCTGCCTCAGTTTGACGTAAGGACCGAACGCACGCCAACACCGGGGCCTGTCAGCTCTCGGGGCAGAGGCCATCTGTTCATCCGAACGATGAGGGCTATTGATCAAAGTCACTCAAAACCTTATGGGAAGAAAAAGCAGAGCGACTGCCATCAAATATTCATTTATTAACAAATACTTACGGAGTGTCCAATATTCCCAGGCACTTTCCAGGCCTAAGGGAGATGACACCCACTCTCACAAGGAAAGCTCGTCGTGTTTCCGTCCGTGCTCAGGACAGAACCAACAGGGCCACCCGGCGCCAGTCTCCGTGACTTGGTAAGAAATAACAGGTGATTTTTATTTTCCTCTTGTCCTCCCAACTCACTAACATATTCAAACCACCATAGCACTGTTTTCACAGTAAGAAAGCAACGTTTAGGACTTCTCAACGCAAAAAGAACCCCCGATGGAGAGAGAGAGGCCGTTTCCAGGGCTGACGCAGAGACGACCATTTTCGACAGGCGGAGTGGAGGGCGGCGCGCAGCAGTGGGGCCGGACCGCAGGCCGGCGCCGACCGTCGCCTCCGCTCTGTCCCTCTGCTCCTGCCCGCACCGGCCCTCCTGCCATCCATTCCACGTGTGTGAGCATCTCGCTCGGTCCTCCACTGGAGCTGGTTTGCAAGACACTCACGTGTTCCTGCACAACTACAAGTGTTACACTGTAGATGCGGACGCAGTAAATACACCAGTAAGAAGCAACAAAGCGGGGGTCCACAAATCATGCTTGGCTTTTTAGAACTCATGAATATTGTCTTCCTTTTTCATCGTGAAGCCCTTCTGTTAAAAAATACAATTAACAGGAATCATGTTTAATCACCTGTATCCAATTAGTTTCTCAGGTGAGGGTCCGGATTTAATAAGATGTATTGCAAAGGTTTAATTCCCCCATGGGGCGGTTAGCTTCCCTCAACTCCCTGTTAGAGACGCAGAAACTCAACCCTTATTCAGGACAGCCACGTCCTTAAGTATCAGAGAGGGAATCAAGGCAACTGCATTATTACAACTGGACAATTAACTCGAAGTATATTTTCTTACTGAACATCTTTACATATGAACAATCGGTTATTAGATGAATCTTCTGGGAAGACTTCCATAAGATTACTTATAAATGTGTTAAGACATATCAGAAATGATTATTTTGAAATCTGGCAAAACTAGCGGTGCTCACCTCCCCAGCCTGGTCATCTGTTTTGCTTTTACGTGTGAATTAGTGCTGAGTGTCCTCTCTCTCTCACTCACGTCCAGCCCAATCCAATCCAAGTAACCAGCACAGAAACATTCTTTTTCACAAGCACGCAAAATGTCCTCATGATCAAGGAGCAGGTGGGAAGCACTGCGTCACGTCCCTCCACAGCTCTCGTTTATGAAATCATGTTCACGAGCTACACCTACCATCAGAGAACTAGTGCTCAGGCCTAGACCGCCTGCCAGCAAGCAGGCTTCCGCCAGGAACGAACACCACCCAGTCCCTCACCTCCTCCTGGGCGTTACTCTGGACCCTGAAATAACTGACCTCAGCACTTTTTACAACACACACTTGAGTATTTTCTCACATACTGTCCACGTCAGGTCCTCCTGAATACAGTCAGAGGAACCCATTCAGTTAAAAAGTAAAGAAGCACAAAACATCACGAATTTAAATCGTTTCCTAGGGGGCCACTAGGGAGGGCTACATCCTTTGACAAAGCACTCTGCCCTGGACACTAGCATGCCCAGCCTTGAGGACATGGGCCATCCTCCTACAAGCAGCCAGCTGCTTTCAAAAAGCAGCTCCAACTTCACAAACCTAACGTTAATAATCTGATGCCATCAAGATGTATTTTATATCATTTCAAAATACACATATTTAATTCGCACTTATATTGCATAATATTTTCATTTTATTTTTTTGCATGGAGGTAGTTTCTCAAACTTGAAACATTTCACCACATTTAATAACATATGATAGAAGTGAAACTAAATTTCACAGCTAGCCTACTTATATATAGACTATAAATTCTTGTGTTTGCCAAGAGGTTCGCCTATAAACATGCTGCCAATGAGCTAGATTTAAATTTTGCTTTCATCGATGTATCCTTTTTTTCTAAAAATAGCTCACCACGCAAAGATCAGGAAAGCCAGACAGCACACATAACAAATCCTTAAGAAATAAATTATCCATCTCCTAAAATATGTGTGTGTGTGTGTGTGTGTATCACTCAGAAGTAACAAGAGGAAATTGCACTGAGCTTTGCTCGACACCAAATATAAAAATCTCACGTCTTCTGCAACAGAACTTGTGTTCTGCGTGCAGGAAACCAGTTCCATCCGTTTAAATTGCATCGCAATTCCAATTGCCACAGGAAGTCTTATCGTAGTTAATGTTGGAAAGCTTCACAAATACCAGCATTTGATAATGCTACTTACTGAGGATTTGGAAGTAGAATAGTTTCTTTAAAAAGTAAGAACATGATTGGGTAGTTTTACTAACAGACACCATTCAAAGCAATCACACAACACGGCGAAGCCCCCGCCTCTCACTGTCCCCCTGGGGTCCTGAAGGGAGATGAACAGTCACCACTCACTGGGAGAGAGCAGATCCAAGTGCGGAACAGAAGTCGAGGTGTCACAGACCTGGCTGGGAGACGGCTTACCTTTCCCTCTCTCCGTCCGTGACGTCATACAAGCGGTTGGCACCTCCGTCAGCACAGGCTCTTAAAAGAGCTTCACATGGGGGGGGAAAAGAAAAGAAAACAAAGAGCACGTGAACGCAGGAAGCGGAGAGCAACAGCCCCCAAATGTTAAACGTTAACACACAGGCGCTCTGGTAGAGTCACACTTCCCTGCTCGGGTCACTTCCCACCCAGCTAGTGCGTGCGGCTGCTGGTGCCAAAGCGCGTGCACGTGGCGCAGACGCAGGGACAGAGCCAGCGCACAGGGCGCCTCTCCTTCCTGCCGCCTGTTCTTTTCCTCTTCGGAGGAAGGTGCCGTCCTCAGCATCCCTGGGAGCCTGTTTCTCCTTCTCTGGGACACAAGGTAGACCTCCCACTCAGTAACAGTCATAACCCTGTCCCCCTTTTTCAATGTTTCAGGTACGTTCCAGTTAGGGCTGGTGTTATGAAAAACATTATGAAATGTTTTCCTAGAAATGTTTGTGTCTTGGCCTCACTTCCCTCTCCCATCCTTCCTGTAACACCCTTTATTTACCTAACGGCTTAAGGATAAACCTTGCCTTTTATTCTGGGTGACGAGAGCGCATGCGGAGGTGTCTGAGGTTCTAAGTCCTCACCTGCCAGACCAGAGCCTCGCCTCCTGTTCCCACACGGCTGGTAAGACGAGCGTTACAGTGCCACACGGAGGAGTGAAGAAAGACCGTGGGCCCCAGCCCCTTCAGAGGAGACCAACTATTCTTCTAAACCACTTCTGCACTCTATGGCCCTGAGGAAATGCCCTTTCCTGTTTGCAAATTTCACTACACATTTAAAAGAGAGCTACCTCCCAATTTCCAGGTATTTAATAACAGGTAGGCTATTGTAAAGGATTCTGATTGATCATATTGGCAGAAACAAAAGTCCCACTGTATTTTCCACTAATCTACAGGCGAACTCTTTTCTTTGATCTGTATCAGAAACAAAATAGAGGGCAAGTGGCCAAAAAAGATATTCCTTTTGCGCTTCATTCAGCTTTTTCATTTGTAACTGAGGATTACATCGACTCTGGCATAGATTATTAGGCAATTAATGATTTAATAAACACACACAGTGCTCCTCACAATACTGGAACACCGTAAGCACTTAATAAACAAGAGTCCCGACACGTGGTCACCAGAGGGGTGGAGGGCCCCGGAGGGCAGGGGGAAGGGGTGAGAAGGACAGGCTGGCAGTCACAGAACAGTCACAGGGATGTAAAGTCCAGCACCGTGAATACAGTCAGTAATATGGTAATAATTACGTATGGGGCCAGGCAGATCCTGGAAATTTTAAGGTAAGGTAAAGTATATGACTGTCTAACTGCCATGCTGTATACCTGAAACTAATACAAAATAATATTGAATGTCAACTGTAACTGAAAACAAATAAAAAATTATAGCACTTTGATGTGGTTCTAAATGCACATAAGGGAAATTTTGATGATCATGTTATATAAAGGGGAAGGTAACAGGATATAAAGGGAGGTAAAAAGGAAAACAAAAATAAATAAATATGAGTCCTCTTCTTCCATTTTTGTTAGAATTAAAATACCACCTAGCCCTGCCTGTGTGGCTCAGTTGGTTGGAGGGTTGTCTCGTACACCAAAAGGTTGTGGGTTCAATTCCTGGCCAGAGCGCATACCTAGGTTGTGGGTTCAATTCCTAGTTGAGGCATGTGTGGGAGGGAACCAATCAATGTTTCTTGCTCTCTTTTTCTCTCTCTCTCTCTCTCTCTGAAATCAATAAACATCTCCTCAGGTGAGGAATAAAACAAAAATACAGCCTATAAAGCCTTGTGCTGCTAGAAAGGCAAAGCCTGATATCTCAGACGGACATCTCATTTTGCCAGTTACCAACAATACTCAGTTCCTTACAAGACACCCAAATTCAAACTAAGCCACAGAATCAACTGCATAAGATTAGAATATTCTGTACATTTTAAACAATAAACAATAACAAAACCTAGAAGTTCAAAATCATCAAAATCTAAAATGGGGAGATCATCTCATGTATAAAATATGGTTTAGAAACAGATGGTAAACTGTTAATAATTACCCTCAGACTGTACAAAAGGTTTCTCTGTAACCAAAATTAACAAGTACATGGGATCCTTTTATGTAAAAAGTGATTCAGTGAAGCAATATGAAAATCTAAGAAACAGCTTTTAGTGGCTAAGATTATGAAATAGGGTAACTTGTCAATTTTTCACAGGATATTCTTTTGCCAAGATCAGCTGAATTCAACATTTATCCCAATTATGTGCCAGGCCTTATCTCGAGCAGAAAGATGAAAAACAAACAGACCCAGCCCTCCAGGCTCACATTGTAGCAGAAGGAAGAGCAACAAGCAGACACATGCTCACTGTGCCGTGGACTCTGACCAGTGCTGCAAGGACAGCAGCCACACGCAGGGGCAGGAGGAGGGGAGGGCAGAGGAGTCTCAGCGGGTGACGCCGGAGAACTGCTTACTAACAAATCTGGGTCAGCTAAGACCAGGGTCACTTTTATGGTCCAAAACCTTTTTCCAGTGCCCGTTACTTCTCACTCCTAGATTTAAATTGATAGTTTAGAATAGCTGACGAAAAGAGAGATAACTAAGTCACAGACAGTAAATGTGTCCACACATATTCCTGTTTTAAATTTAAAGAGCGCCGAAGTAACCACCGTGAGATCTATAGACTATTCTTTCTCTGCCTACGTGTTGGATTGCAACCTGTCTAAAAGGAACAAGTTCCAGTCCGTCCCTAAAACTATTTTTTAATAAAACTTGATTAAAAGTGATGTGTTCTAACACACTTAAAATTTTATTTAAAAAGTGTTTTAACTAGCTCAAAATATTTTCCACCTGCGTACTTAAATCAAGCTGCATTTGAAAAATGGAAATCCTCAGGCATGTCATAAATAATGTTGGCATAAATCCACTGATACCATTCTGGAAAATGAAGAATGAAGTATCACTGCCAATGGAAGCACCCAACTAAAAGAACCAGAAGTAGATGACACTCTTTAATAAGATATTTTTGGTAAATCTTAACGAATCAGCCTCAGAAATATGCTCACTCCATCATCATTTAAATTGCTCCAAGCTTTAATGAGCAGAAGTTAACTGCAGAAATTGTCTTTTAATGTAAAAACTTCCTTGGCTTATTCAGCAAAATCTTTGCAGATTCATCACATACTATGATTTCAACGGTTGAGAGATCATTTGCTATGTATCAGGTTGACAAACAGCTGAACACTAAAATGTGTTGAAATCTCTAAGCTAACAATTTTTTTTTTGGCCCGGTATAATGTAAGTTAATGTCACCTACACAATGAAGAGTTTCAATCACAATAGAGGTATTTAACTGGCTATTTTATTAATTCCCATTGAAAAAGTTGGACAAACATAATCTGACTTTCTGCAGAGTAGACCATTAAATTAGTTCCAAGCATTAAGGTATAAGAAAAAATAAAGTAAAATTAAAGAATTATTTTTCAGTTTCAGTTAACTGAAAGAACACCAGGTGTTGAAGATTTCAGTTCTAGTCCAGATGAAGTCCTTACTAGTCCTATGACTGTGAGGTAATTCCAAAGGTGCCGATTCTAATGCAAAATGAAGATTACCATATATACTTCACCAGATTCACAAAATTTTTCAGAACCTGGAGAGCATGTGGAGACAAATTTTGTAACATCTTATTGATGAGGCTACAACTCGGAGGTCAGTTTGGCAGATATATATATATATATATATATATATATATATGTATATATAGGTGTATATATATATTGGTATTATATTGGTAAAATATTCAATTTTACCAACTGAATATTGGTAAAATGTATTCTAGCCCTATTATGGAACCATAAAAAAGAGCAACTCATATATTATGTTCACTTTATCTCATAAGATAAGATATCTCTTGGTCAAATCTTCCTTGCAGTAGGAACTCAAATGGATAGGAATAACTTTGCCAAGGTAACTTTGTCAAGGTTTATCAAGTAAATATATTGATCAATAGTAAAAACACAAAAAGGAAAAAAGAACCCACATAAAATACTACCATCTATATATAAAATGATAGTGGTATTGATTTTTACTCATAAAATTTAAGCAGAAAAACTGGTTACAGGGGCACTTCTGCAGAAGAGGACAGGGTTGGAACAAAGATCTATTTTTTTTGCACAACTAGTTTTCTTTCAGGGAACCCCACTCTCGCACCCCAGGCTACTCATGACATTGAACCCACACCCAAACGGCTCAGTCCAGGCCATGATGATGCCCTGCCCAGAGTGACTGATTCAGAGACAGAGACGTGGTCCAAATAAAGATAATGAGACCTACAGACTTTCCAGAGTCCCTTTCCCACTGCCCTGCAAGCTGCCAGTGGAAGCCCGGGTCTGTGACCTATGGCACTGGCCCAGAGATGAAGGCCACAGGGGAAGGTGGAGCCGGGAGACCAGAGCACTGTTTGTGTCCCCAGAGCCATGCACCGGCCAGGCACCAGCCCAGGGAATGTCTTCTCCAAAGACCATCTTTCTCCAACCTGTGCTGCACCGGGCCCTTAGGAAGAGCTGGATGTTTTTGTAGATAGTTTGCCTATTATTTTATACAGCATCATCAGGAAAGCCTTGATTATGAGCCAAACTGGTTAGTTCATGGACATGGCTAACAGACAGACCAGCAGGCTGCCCCTGTCTCGGCTTTATTTCACGTGGACAAACTTTCTCGGACCTTGCAGGGAAACACAGGCTCTCTGAGAGACACGGCAAGAACTTTGCTCCCAGGAGTTCCGCCATGCCGGTTAACTGCTGCCTAGAGAACTCCGAGTGTCGGACGAAAGGGTTTATTGATACTCTATTCAGGTGCAATTATGAAGAAGCTCCCATTGTTTGTGATGCCCCCCACACAGGGAGTGGGATGAGTGCAGAATTATTCTTATTCCAAATACAAGTTAAGTGGTGTTGATGCCGCGCGTCTGCACGCACAGTGCTGTCCCGGTCCCAGGGACCTGGCTGACGCCACGTGAGGGACATTTGTGTGACCTTTAGGT